CAAACCAAATATGCTTTCCTGAGAAAAAAAACGTAATGGATATGCCAAGAGTGAAAATTTATATCGATAACAACAAACTATTGGGGATACTAAACAGCGAACATTGGCTAGGAGTATACACAGCTGAATCTCTAGATGATGCAGCCAATCGCTTTATTAATATCCTGAAATCTTCAATTTCAGAAAGTACCAAGAATAAGAAACTTAAAAAAAGAGAAACAAGAAGGAAAATATGGGTAACACAAGCTCTAATAAAATCAATCAATCACAAAAACGCCCTGTATGCAAAAATGCAAAATAACCCTAGTATAGAAAACAAAACAACTTTCAGGCAGTACAGAAACAGACTCAATGAACTGATTAAAAAAACAAAAAGAAATCATTATCAAATAAAATCGAAGAAAATAGGCACAGCTCATCTGCGCTATGGAAATATATAACAGAAATCAGTGATGGTCACGGAAAATCAGACAATAGCATCAAAGAAATAAAAACAGATGCTGGTGAAATAATTGATGATGAAAGGGATATATCCAACAATTTCGTTAACTTTTTCACTAGTGTGGGCAAAAATCTCGCTCATCGAATCATGAAAAAAAATACTAAGATGAAATGTCGACAAATTCCCAACTCCTTTTTTCTCATGCCAACAACCCCTCAAGAAGTGATCAAAACTATTTTGAGTTTGAAAAACCATAAATCGCCTGGTCTAGATGAGCTGAGGGCAGAAATATTGAAAAATGTAGCTCATGAAATTCCACAACCACTTACATATATCATAAATAAAAGTTTTGATACTGGAAAATGCCCTTCACCATTCAAGGTTGCTATCATAAAACCAATCTTCAAAAGCGGAGACAAATTGAATGTATCCAATTACAGGCCAATTTCCTTGTTATCCAGTCTTTCAAAAATTTTTGAAAAAATATTAAAAAAAAGAATGAATGACTACTTGAGTAAATATAATTTGATATCAAATAAACAGTACGGCTTCCGGGAAAAATTGTCCACAAATGACGCCATAGCGAAGTTAACAGCAAAAATCAATGATGCAATGAATATTTCAAAACCTTGCCTATCAATATTCGTAGACCTCAAAAAAGCCTTCGACACTGTCAGTCATGACCAACTCGCTCAAATACTAAAGGGTATTGGTTTCAGGGGAACTTCATACTCGCTTTTACGTGATTATCTGAGAAACAGGCAGCAGTATGTGAAAATTAATAACAGCTTAAGTGAAATGAAGAATGTTGAATATGGAGTACCCCAAGGAACCGTGCTGGGACCAATACTCTTTAATATATATATCAATGACCTATTTGATATAGTGAAAACTGGTGATATTATGGGTTTTGCTGACGACACAGTAATTTTTTATGAAGATAAAACTTGGAACGATGTGAAACATAAGGCAAAGCAGGAATTTCCAACTATATTAAATTGGTTTGAAGACCGCCTCCTCACTATCAATATGGAAAAAACATATTATGTCCCATTCTCTTCATACAAGAGTAACCTACCAGAATTTCATACACTTAACATTAACCACGGAAACTCAACAATGCAGATAAAATTAGCTAACCACGTCAAATACTTGGGAGTATTCATCGATTGTCATCTCAGATGGGATGTTCATATAAAGTTTGCGATAAAAAAGATCAGATTTTTATTTCACAAATTCAAGTTTTTCTCAAAAATTCTGAAAATACAGCATCTGAAGACGCTATATCACACATTAATAGAACCCCACTTAACATATGGTCTCATATGTTGGGGAGGAGCTACTGATAACTATATGGAAAACCTGCAAGTCGCACAAAAATTCATTCTGAAGATAATGTATAAAAAACCATTAACTTACCCGACTGATGACCTCTATAAAGAAACAATGATCTTTGATATGCGCCAGTTATTCTGTCAATCCTTACTGATTAGACAGTATAAAAATAGACATGAGCTTAATAGAATCGAACATGAACACAATACAAGACATAGAATGAATTCAGTGAGATTACCAAGGATCAACAAGAGCATGGCACAGAGATCATTTACTTACCTATGCCCAAAAATATTCAATCTAATACCAAACTCAATTAAAGAAATCAATTCCCTTGCAATGTATAAAAATAAAATAAGAAAATGGATTAAGGAAAAACCACGGCTTGAGATTCATCAGTTCATCAATTCTCAAATCATTCTCCTCCAATGAAAAATTTTGAATTTTTTTTTTTGTTCACACATTGGATATGAAATATCAACTCATCGTTATTGCATAAATTTTTTTTTGTCGCACTCTTATAGTAGCCAAATGTATAGGAACCTTTAGTAGAAAAATTAGACTAAGCTGTACAAGACATAGTCTTTTTTGTGAATGCTGATTTTCTACCAGAGATGCTTCTTTATATTGTTAATGTTTAATGTTTACTCAAACCTCCCCACGCACAGCACTACTTGCTTTGTGGGTGTATCTAGTTTATTTACTTATCCTGTTGTTGTAAATACCATGTTATTTGAATCGCTTGGGTGAATAAATATTATTATTATTATTATTATATTATAGGTGTTCATGCAATAACCTTTCATCAGCTGTTTAATACTTATCCAGGGCGGCTAGTTATTATTTGGCGCATGTGCCACGTGCTGTTGAGCATTATGGAAGAAATGAATTTCTTAGTTGAATGTTGGCCATCTTTATCAGTTTTAATTTTAGTTTTGATATTTTAGTTTCTTGCATGAGCACCTACATTACATTCCTTAGTTTTATATTATTGATTCAAGTTTAAAATGCATTTAAGTTATAAATTTTGCTTGCATGAATCCACCTTAAGACTCAGGCTATAGTATACAATTGATTTATCGAATAGCAACTCGAACGTTTTCGGCACTAGGCCATCATCAGGAAAGTATCTGAAAAGTGAATGTCTCTTTTACAGGTACAATATATGTAAAAATGTGAGGTTAAAATTAGTTTGTTGATGTCATCAGGAGAGTATCTGAAAAGTGGATTTTTCTTTCACAGGTACAATATATGTAAAAATGTGAGGTTGAAATTAATTTGTTAATCTCAGAAGAAAATCGTTGAATATATCGAAAACTCACTTGTCATTAATCATTCCAGAATTACGTCATTTGACAGGTTGCTGAGGGGCAAACATTGTATTTTGTCAAGATCTGTCATAGAAAACCAGAATTAGTGGGATCGTTTTCCTTGGAATCCGAGTTGGAACCAGAAAGAATTTCATAATTTTGTTTGGTGAAACTGTTATTATATTGTGGATGTGGCAGAGGGACGGCCTGGGAAATGCTCATCAAAGGTAACCTAACAGATAGTTTGTGTGCCCCTCAAGAAACCATGTCAAAATCACGTGTTCTAGAATGATCAATAGAGTCTTGCGGAAGATAAGCATTAAAAATAATGTAAATGTATTAATCAACATTGGTTACTTCATGAGATGTTTTTGGATTTATCCAAAATATTGAAATAGCACAATAATGAAGTGCTGTTCACTTTACTTTCGGGAAGAAAAAACATAAAACATAAAAATTGATAGAATGACGTAGTACAATTGACATGAAATAGGAAATGATAACTGACAGTGACCATTCAAACAATGACACAGATAAGCAATCCAAATAGAGATTTTTTTATGGAGTCATTGACCTTGAAAGTATCTGCAAGTCTATACATATGCATACTCATCGTTACTTAACTCATCCATGGTGTTACCAAAATTTCAAAGACTGTCCAAATAAATTGATGTCAATTATGACAATGACTGCAACTACCATGATGTTATTGAATAAATAGTTTTTATTACCTTTGAACCGGTAGGGATGTATGTTTTCAAAATTCCATTCTATCTAGAACGGTACAAGATATCGATTTTGAATAAAGTATACTATTTTTGTAGAAAAAAGATGAAGGAATCAAACGGTGGAAGCAAAATGTCATATTTGTCACCTCCGTCAAAAATGCCTTAAACGGAAAAAAATTCGTCCCATCTAGTATACAACATAATCATCCGTTTTGCCCAAACATATGCATAGGCGATTCCCAGAGACCAATCAGAATAACCCAAGACGCGCCTGCGTGTTGAGAAATGTCTAGGGTGCAACAAAAATGCAAATGCAACAAATTAACAAATAAACCATGTGTGGGTATCTGTTTTTGTCGACTAAATTCTCAGAATCGTGATTGGGTTTTCTCAATTCAGAATTTCTTTGCACGACTTAATTAACTCATCATAATATACTGTAAATACATTCTTTCTTCATACTAAAATTTTCAATTATCTGTGTGGCGCAGTTCTATGTGCATTCGGATTCCACACTGGTGACCCGGGTTCAATTCCTGCGGGTTTTTTTATTATGTTTTCTCAAGTGATTTCCGAAAAATAAACTTTTTAGTCAGAAGGACGAGTAGTCTCCTTTCTTATGCAGACGGAATAATATGTTTCTTTCTCCCCAGCATCGTGAGCCGTGAGCGAAGTTCTCGGCCGCAAATTTTCTGTAGACTTGATTGATTGATTGATTGTTTTTATTACCCCAAGAATCATATTTCCACAATGTGCGTATGAAAAATGAGGACCCTCGAGAATAATACTCGTTATGCATACCTGGTGTATGTATGATGTGAAAACATTCGTTATTCGGATTTACCGCCAATACCAGTGATTTGAACTTAGCGCCATCGCTCAAATCGCCCTGATTGGTCTATAGGACTCACCTATGCATATGTTTGGGCATATGTGCAACCTACATGTCCTAACTCGGATTCGAACCCATGTCTCGGTGGGTCCCCATACAAACTCGGCGCCTTTGCGCTCTCGACCACCGAGCCTCCTCGTATAGAAACCAAATTGTTCTCCGACCATGTATCAAGTCTTGAAGTGTAAGGTCGAGCCGCCATTGATACGCCAGTGGCTAATACTTTTCCATTAACGCCTGATACTGATACCTTTTTTTTTCAAATTGTATGCATCGATGAATTTTATTTTAAGGTTTCTGCTGGACACGCACATACTTTGATACTCACGACAGAAGGAAAAATATATGGATTTGGTTCTAATCTTTTCGGGCAGTTGGAAAGTTGCCAATTGGACTCGAACAAATCTGCTAAGCCTGTTTGGGTTCTGCTGATGCCCGACATGTATGTGCCTGTAGAGAAGATTGCTACAGCATATTTCCACAATGTGAGTATGAAAACTGAGGACCCTCGAGAATAATACTCGTTATGCATACCCGGTGTGCTTAACAAATTGAGATCAACTCCTTTTGTCTTTTCTTTTCAGGATAATTAAAATAATGTTTAATAAATTAGTTGGTCAGAATAACTCAAATTTTCATTTCGTAATGATTTTTTACATACGGGGTCTTTGATGTCTCCGAAATAAAGTTTTATTCGATTACTTGGCAGCCGCTTGATAAAAATCGAAACTGAGGAAAAATGAAATAGTGATAACATTCGATCAATCGGATTTTTAGTGGCGCCGGCAGGGAGATATTATTGTTTGTATTTTACTAAGAATTGAGATACAAAGGAGAATTACAAAATTCTATACGAGACGATGAAAGACCATTCAGTTTTGTAGAAAAAAGGATATCTTGTTAACTCTCGACAGGACAAACCATTTTCGGGAAAGCGAGACGAGACCAGATTCCAAATTTTGATGTAAATGCTGAGTTTTCCATTCAAGACATCCGTTCAGATCACTGGATAACCATAACATTTAACATTCTGAAATGTTTGCACTATTTCAGTTACATACGAAATAGTAATTTACGTAAAAAGTCCGGAAAATCTGTTTTTTTGGACGAGTAGACAAAATTCTAGGTCGAGCCGTAGGCGAGTCCTGGAAGTCTGCGAGAACAAAAAAACTGTTTTTGGTCGTGTTGCGTACACTATATTTTCGGCAACCATGTAGAATAACAAATCAATGAGACATTTCCATATCATCCATATCCATATCATTTGTATCAAATACGGAGATTTGAACAGAATACCTATACCTACTAGCTGTCACATTGGAAATTTCGTATGGACATTTCCAAACTCACTATCGCAGCATCTTTCGATAGTTTATTGCGATAATTGCAACCAAACTTTCAAAAATCAAAATGTCAACTAATTTCATGTCAAATAGCTGTCAACTGATATTTCGCTGCTATGGGAATTCATCTGCATTTATCAAAACCATATCCACCAAGATTTTCATAGTTATACAACGATGTTGGCCGTTTTTTGTGCACTTCGCTGTATGTTCATAGAAACTGTCAGTATTTCAATGAGCCAATAAATCTTGTCCTTCAATTGGAATTTTAACCTTCATTTTCCCGCGCTGTCATTCTGTCAAAAATTATATGTTTTTGGCGCCAAGTGTGATATATGTCAAAATATTAATTTTGCCAAAACGAATCGAAAGATATGTTTCTACTATATTCGGTTGTATAAACAAATAATCATATGATAATTAGTCACATAATTGAATGAACAATTGTTATAAACTTCAATACTACTACCAAATAATCACACTTGATGATCACGTGATATATGCCGTCAGATGGCACATTGCTTAGCATTAAAACACAATATGTTCATGTCTTCCAGACTCTGAATTTTTTGCCCAATCCATGGTAAATAAGTTGTATTATATATATTTGGATCTAAGGTAATTGTTTTGTTCGGTTTAGAAAGAAGAAACTTTTTCGTTCGCCAAGGAAACATCCGCAATATCAAATTTTTATATTCATAAAAATATATTGCTAAATCAATTCAATCAACTCTTCGGGAAGAATCTGAAAATACAATGAAATACAGGGTGTTCCATTTGAAAAAATCAAGTAGTACTCTGTAGATTGTTTGTTTCGAGCACCCTGTATTTTCTGATGCAGCGGGAAAAAGATGTCTGAAAAATCATTTCATATCAATTTTCAAATTTTTAAATCGGTTCAAAAATGAGTAAGCTAGAGGGGGGGGGGACATTTATGGTGAATCACCCTGTACAATGGGCCTGCTTCAGTGAAAAATTTTATTTCATTATTTCCAAGTACTAATTCTAACTGGTTCACTATCGCAAACCGTTTTTTCCTCAGAGCTCTGGAACTTTTTTAGATAATCATTGAAATTCACGATATTTCATAACATCAAAAACGCAAGAAAACGCCTGATGTAATCATCAGAGAACACCATGTAAGATTCGGCTCACGTATCAATTCTCTTATTTGATAGACAAGTGCAAGAATATTTCTGATTGTAATTTCAATCAGAATATGGAATTAATTTTCTGGATTGAATACTTACTGCAGATAATAGAGAACACAATACACAACTAAAGAATCAGATTATGAGGATTATATCTGAATAATCGCATCTTGACAAAGATATTAACGTCAGGAAGTTAGGTTGACAATATAGTTTGTCTTCTGTTTTTGTATTTCTGGGAACCAAGGCATCACACTATTGCCCCTGCCACAAAATAATTTGAGATTAAATAAAGGCTATATTCCGAATTCAACTGGTCAGTACTGTCAGTAGATCAACTGTATCTGCTGAAAATCTGTGTTCCGAAATATAAAATCAAAAATACAGTGCTGTAATTCAGGACACGTTTTCATAGTTTTCATCAGTAGTCAGCAGCAGTTGATCAGCTGGTGAAATTTGTCAGTCTGTAGTTTCTCGTTTACCTGGACTAGATATTCAATATTTAATATTCAACATGAACGAGCAATCGATTCTTGTAGCCTCCATAGTTTCTAAGATTACTGACGATGACGATTCAGGCTCGAGTGATAAAGAATACTTGGACATTTTGTTGCCATTAACTTTTCATGATGCACCAGATGGAGAATTGAAAGATTTATAGAACACGTAATGATGATGAATTAAGGAGACATTTCAGGTTTATTTAGTTATTTATGTAGCCAATGCTGCTTCTTCTTTTGTTACCTCTACTACTTCATACTCAATATTATTCTCAGAGCTTATTATTTCAATAACAAGTATTTTCTGATATCGAGAATAGTAACAACGGAAATGAATGTTACATTCCTTCCCCCTCTAAAATAATGACAGTTCACTGAAGCCACACTACCTTCTGATAGAATGATGAGTCGCAATATTTGGAATGAATAGTATGTCTGCTCACAAGCATCTGTCACTTTCAGTGAAATTTTTTATTTCGGAATGAAAAATCAGCAGATTCACTACTGTAAGTTGAATACGGATTATAGCCAAAATCTCGACCATAATTAGGAATAAATACTAGGATATTTTTATTGGTACTGAAGCATCTTGCAAGTATATAAGTATTCAATAGGTGATTATTAGGGACCAGGTCGAACTATTGTCTTCTGTGAATGTGAATACTATTGTCATTGGTCATATTAAATCTCATATGGTAATTACTAGTTACAAATTTGGCAGCGCCTACATATGTGGTCGTACTTTTTATGCAAAAAGCCAGAATTCGGTTCATGACGTCATCGAACCTGGCTTCTTTCGAAGTCGGCGGGATTTTAGAAATCTTCATTGAATAATTCTGGAAAAATCAGCTTTTGGGGTGGGTGAACCAAGATTTTTGTCAGACAAATAAAATTGTTTTGCATTTATCATTCAGTTACCATGAAACGAAACCTTAAATCAAAGTGACTTTTATAGAGGCTGCGTTGTATAAGACGCTCCGTTCAAAGATATAAGGAAATAAAAACGTTGATGGATTTATCGACATAACTACTATCTAGACGCTAACGCCAATGACATAAGATCATCCATTTACTAGATCGAACTGGATCCCATAGAGCATGCGTATTTTGGTTCTGTCATATACTTTCACATAAGTCGATGTTATTTATGATAGTTTGGGTCCTTTTACGCCATGCAAAGAGACGTTTTCTGGCGAGCAGTTTTGATGAGATTTTCGGGTTCTTGGGATATAACATAATAGCGATATAGAGAGTAGGTTATGCCGGTAGACTTGTCAAAATGAAGTCACACATAAGAAGGGATCCTGTCCCGTGAACTACACCCAAGTTTGAAGAACTGCGATACACAGGAATTGAATTACTGAAGTCATTTCATGCCAGTAGTAGTGTTACATCAAATTTCCTGTCGATTCAGATTGCGATTAGAGTTGACCAAGAGGTTTACACTTGGGGCGCCAATCCCCAAGAAGTGAGGCTATTTCAATCTAAGAACAACCAAAAGCACAGCGGTCCATCTCTCGGACCGACCGATGGCTGGAAGAACAGCGTTCACATCTATTCAGGACTGAGTAAGAAGCCCATCGATCAAGTTGCTGTTGGATATAGACATCAAGCAGTCTTGCATAATGGTAAGACTTTCAAGTTCTCCACGCCACAAATTGTTTCTGAACAATTTTTTATACAATTTCTAGAAAAAAATACAAATTCAATATTTTGAATGATACTTGGAACTTTAACTAACGTGCCTAATTTTTTTTCAACATAAACCAAACCATAAAGACAAACATTTTTTTAAATAGGATATTTTTTGCTTCTTTGAAGCCGAAGGCGTGACTCGATCTTGGCGTTGGTAAATTTACAGCTTGCGGCGTTTTATACGAATTTCAAATATCTAACAAAACAAATGCACTTTAGCTGAATTTTTTCTTTTTCATGTAATTAGGTTACACAAGGTTATAGAGAGATGATATCACATATGAGCATTTTATTCAGTGCGTCGATTAAATTCAGTAATCTCGTATAATGGAATTGCCATTAAAAAAATTCCTATGACGTTATTTCTCCTACATTTTGTATGTATTTTGTATGATTGATCGACGGCTTCAGGCGTATTTCCTGAAAAGTATTTCTTAATTTTTTTCACGAATGATTATCCACTACTTTAGCAGAGCACTGAATTCAACCGACGCACTGTATTTATGTGTGATATATTTTTGAATCCAGCTTTCCATGGAGAATTCGAAAATTGTGTTCCATTTGAGAAAAATATTGCTTCACGGAACTACGGGAGCACTGTATAAGGTAGATAAAAACATTGGAATCTCAATACTAATAAGAGTTTCTAGGTAATTTCCTTGAACATAATTATCTCTACTTTTCAATGAACACGTTTATATTTCTTGTCACGCATCTTTATATACAGTGTGTCCCAGCTAAAACTTGTCAGTCTCCTAATCTCCGATGTCTAAAAAAATTTAAAATCGCTCGGACAGGTCGATTTCAATTTATCGGGAGACACATTTTTCTGCAATTATTATATTCCAAAGTTGAAACCGTGCAGCGTAACGGGCATCAACTTTCGATTTTGCAGTTTTAGATTCTCCCTGAAGAGCTGCTTTCATCAATGTATCACACTTGGTGTCTAGCGGGAATGATTACAAAGATATAGGGTGTTCAAAATCGAAATTTTTTAACTAGGATTTTTTTGTCGAAACTATTCATTATCGGTCGAAACGGCGTTCAAGTCCCTGTCTTAACTTTTGATTGACTATCTGCTGACATTTAATCGGTTCAAATACAGGGTGGTTAAAGATTCAGAATTTTGATCACTTTTCAATTTTTTAACGACATCGGAGATTTGGGGGTTGACAAGTTTTAGCTGTGACATACTGTATTTCTAAACAGATTAAGTGTTATTTTCCGTGGCATATTCGTGTTTGGCGGACGAGCGTCTGAAATGGAAACTAGCTCCAAATCAGAAGTTTGATTTTTTATTCTGTCTCTTCCTATTGGCCATCTCTTACAGTTCATTGATTTGATAGAAATACATTGATTTTGACAGTGGCGCCGATTTTATTCACAACATTCACGGCATTTAACAACTTCCTAACCAACCTCACAATACAAACTGTCTTACCATTGAAAATATGGTCAATTCGAAATATGGTCAATTCGTTAGCGAATATAGAAGAACATCGTGTGTCGACGTTCGAGGAAAACGTTGACCATTCCAATTCGTTTTTGTTCAGGTAAAATATTGTGGGGCAGAAGTAAAGACGAAGAATTAAGTCCTCCGAAACTCAGGCAGGAGGACACTGTGAATAGTCTGTTCGCACAAAAGTTTCTCCACATATCATGTGGTTTGGACTACACCATGGCTATCGACCATACTGGAAAAGTTCTAGCATGGGGAAGTTCATCTATGGCACAAGTAAGATCCCTCTTGGTAGTATGATTTTCAAAAACAGAATGATTGATGAAAATTCCAAGTAGCTAAGAAACTATTCGATTTCCACGAAATTCTTGTAATCAGTGGCGTAATTAAGGCTTCCGTGGAATCTGGACCCCCCCCCCCCAGAGCTGTCTAAAAAACTGAAACATTATGGTAAACAAACAATTCTAATGGAAAAATAGACATGAGTATAGGAAATATCACTACCTAAATATTTTCACAATGTATACCTTTTTTATATTATTTCAATTTTTTTTTTCAGTAACTGGATTAGTTGAATTTTTAATTTTCGTTATTTTGTTTTTTTTTCCTCCTATTTCAATGTTTGCACATTTTGATATGTGATATAATTTGATTCAGTTTTCAATACTACTTTCTTTATTTCGTTATTGTTACCAAATGATGCACACATTTATTAAAACCAACGTAAGTTACGTATTGCTTTTCTTTTTCCTAAATATTGTATATACAGGGTGTCTCGAAACTAAATAGGAAGATTTCGATCACAGATTCTAGGAACAAAGATAGTAATAAAAAGTTCATAAACATATATGAGTTCAGAAATGACCTCCTGGGGAGATATAATAGCCATCTGAAAGAGGGTCCGAGATGGTGAGAATAGGTGCGGCTAGGGACATTTCTTCCCCAACTTTTTTTTCTATGCAATTTTCCGCAGTTCGACCAGGAGAAATGAAAATATCATCATTTTTACTTAAAAATGATACTCTTGTTTAGTTTCGGTAGCACTCACCATTTTCGATATAAATCGATTTTAAAAGTCTGCTGCGTAACAAAAATAGTGCTTTTTCCTTATAATAGGGTAATAAAGACAATCAATCAATCAATTTTCCCCCAAAAATTATTTTTCAATAAAAAATACCCTTTTGAGAGGAACAATAATTCAAATCAACAGAATTTGAAAAATTTCATGGTATAGGTACCCAATTCAGAAAAACTATTATTTTTATTCTGCAACAGACTCTTAAAAATCGATTTATCTCGGAAAACGTGAGTGCTATCATAACTAAACTAGGGTATCAACTGCCGAAAATTGCACAGAAAGAAAAGTTGGGGGAAGAAATGTCCCTAGCCCCCCACCTATTTCCCACGCCCCGGATCAAAATTTCGAGAGATTCGGAGATTCAAAACTGAAATGAAAAGTAATATATATGTAAGAAATTTCGTGTTCTCAACACAGAGGGTTTCGGTAATATTTACAAAAAACCATCATCATATCGGTCCCTGTTTCAGATGGCTATAACCATATAACTCCCCAGGGGACCATTTCTAAGCTCATGTTCATGTGAACTTCTTATTGTTCCCAGAATCTGTGGTTGAAATATTTCTATGTAATTTCGGGACATCCTATACAGGGTGTCCCATAAGTAATGGATCAAAAGAAGTGGGGTGGTAGGGGGGATCATTTGTAATCAAACTAACGGTATATGTTGTTATCAAATTGTTGATGGTTCAAAAGTTATTCAATTTTTCTGAAAAATGCGACCCATTTGAAAAAAATTAATAACAAAAAGACTCATTTGGATAACCCCATATGTTATACCATTTCAGAATCTGTATTAAATGGACAACTTTTCCTTAGGATTGGTTATCTTTGTGGGGTAGTTTTTAAATCTGCCAGCGGCATTTAAATATCGACTTGAATATCTCATTGGATGACAAATCTCGAGGAAAACAAAATTTTTCTCAGATTATTGATAAGAACTAAATACATGTCATGAAATTATTTCTGGGGAAAGGTTCATCCATGTGGATGAAATTTGTAAAAGAAAAAATCACAAATAATGTGACAGTTTCATTGTAATTAATTCTTTTTATAGAAATAAAAGAACATCAATAACTTTTGAACCATCAACAATTGGATAACCACATATTTATATGGTTAGTTTGATTGGAAATGACCCCTCCTATCACCCCACTTCTTTTGATCCATTATTTATGGGTTACCCTGTATATTGGACCTCGAACCTAGACCTCCCGCAGGGACGAATCTCAATTACGCACTGCTTGTAACCATTGAAATATGTGGACTCTACTCAGAATGGGTTTATGAAACATTATTGCAGATATTTATTCAACAAGATATCAGATGTAATGGGATCATGGTAGATCCCCTTTTTTTCTTTAGTATTGAAGATGAGTAATTGAAATTTGGAATCCCTCACCAACTTGATTAACGTCACATTTTGGCATAAATATATTTCATTTTTCAGTTCCCGTTTCATTGGAAGTGAATTCTGCATCACTTTCTGAATACAATGATACCACATAAATAAGTGATATTTCAAACGTCAATATTGATTTAAATTTAATTTTTGATTTGCCATCCAAGTGTGCAGATTCTATTTCGATGTACTTCTATGGATTGGTGTTATGCTAGAGAAAAATATATCCTGTCAACAACTTCAAATTTCATGATTTATCACCAATTATTTAAGTTCATCAAAATACCAGTTACACCAGGTATATACAAGATCATTTATATGAGTGTCTCAGGGTTAACTCTTCTAACTTTGCCAATCTGGTGTTGAAGTTATCTCAAATAATATTAATAATATAAATATAAATTATAAAACTCATTGATTTAATGATGATAATATCAAAACCTCACATGTAGAAAATTAGGAAAGCAAACATAAATATTCAGTTGAATAGTTAAATTATTTCATATGACCAACTTAACCCTCACAATTTCCGCTGTTAAATTCATTTTATTGAAACTATTTCCATAAAATTATTTTAAGTGGGTGTGAGAATACAGGATTTCAATGTAAATTATGGTGTACACTTTCCAATTTGATTTCAAGAATTTTGTGGAAATATAGGTAGTTCATAAAGTTTTTCCAGTTTCTGTATTATTTATTTGACCTAAAATCGTTTTGTCCAGACACTTCTGGGTCGACCCGTAGAAGATGACAACAGAAAACTGGAGGGCAAAGTCGTTCTATTCAAAAATACCAAAAGAATATTAAAATTCCCTAGCGCCATGCAAGACAGCACCGACAATTTACCCATCGAAGTCCCAGGACTCCCCACAATGGCCATAACTTTTAATCCCAGTGACCAGAAGCTACTGTTTTCCAAGAGTTTCCTACCTTACTCCATTCGATTAGTGGAAAACGAAACAGTTTCCTTCAAGGAAACCTCAAGCAAATGTTTTTCGCACATTTACGAAAGTCCAAATTTTATATTCGGACACAAGACTCTACATTACGTTCTCGAAACCTATTATGGCTTCTACGATACAGACAGCATACTGTCAAGGTGTCTGGAAGCGCACAACTACCAAGCGGCGGCGAAAATTGCATTCTTAGACGGCCATTACGGTGACAGCTTAGGCTTCCAACTTGTAGCATTCAAAAACCACATGGAATCACTGGACCTCAACCTGCTAGCCAAGAAAAACTCGATCGGCGGCAGAGAAAAAGATCAAGGCTATGTGGAACTCATAGTCCGCAATATACAAGAGGATCTGAACGAGAGGAACCTGAATTGTCCCGTCGGACACATGTCACCAGCGCACATTTTGAGCACGAGTTCTTCATTGGACAGCATCAGACAGTGGGGGGACGAGGTGGAGCACCAAGGGGGTTGCGAGAGCCCCTGCGAAGTCTCGGAAGTGGGGGACATCCGGCAGAACATTTCTCAGTACGTGAAGTCTTTGAAGAATCACGAACGGTCGCCGCCCATTTCGAGCGTGTCCAAAATGGTTTCGGAGATCGATAATGTGCAGATCAAAATGAAGGACATGGAGCCGGAGTACCAGATAAAAGACAAGACGGTAAAGGAAATTATAGATGCAGCATCGTACCTCGTGGAGTTTTACATAAGGAAGATTTACGTGTCGGAGAACCACATCTTGATGCAGAACGTCCTGATGAAGTGCATCGAGTTTTGGTTATCCAGTAATTTGCCGGTTCCTGTACTAGAGAGTATTCTACTGGAAAACATGGATAAGTATTTTTATCCTCTTTCAATTTTACTTTTTTGTAAAAACTTTGACAGGGACGTTGTTAAAGAGAAGCCGAGTTCCTCGGGGTTTTTGAAAGAGTTTTCTACCAAGTTTTGCCTTCAGCTGTGCTCCATGGTTCTGGAGAACGTGAATAAATCATAACGTGGTGATATTTGAGAAAATCTTGTAGTTGTAGGGATTTTGACGCTAGTCACTTCGTAGATCTCATTAGTTTTGGAATATTTATTTGCAGTAGCCTTATACATTTATTTATACTGGTTCTATTACTTATCAGTCATTGAAAAAGGTCATCTTAGTATTCAGCGTTAAGCGGAAGAGTGGCCTTGCTAAACTCCGCCAGGAACTATTAAAATTATTATTGTCACTTATGGACTTATCCGTACTCATGTCATGAGAAATTAGTAAATTTTCGATTTTATCGACGTGCATTTATTTTTTTTTTTTAAGAAGAGGTCGAGATCATAAGTACTATCAAAATTTTCTCGACATCTTTGAAAATAGAATTGCATTTTATACTTCATGGACGTACCTAACTACTTAATGGGGGTTGAAAATCCTATGTTCAAATTGCATTTTCGTCATCGGAAAATCTATAGAATGTATTATTTTAACGAAACTGGCATCACTTATTCGGTAGAAGAAATCTTGCTATGTCTCATACAACACTCCATTTTGTTTATCGCTTCCATTTTGGGAAATACCCAGAATATAGAATTCACAAAATAAATGTCCTCTTTTCAATGACAAATAGTCAATTTGTCATTTTCTTCCTTTTACGAATCTTGTTCTAAGTGATTTTTGTTTTTTCAGCCAGAAATAGTGATTCATAATATTAGTTTATATTACAAGGTGTCTCAGAACAACGAGCCATAACTTATACATGATTAACTAGAGACCAAAATAGGCCGATTGATGTCAACTTACCGAAAATGCACCGTGAGAGGGCGATGATGAATAATTTCATTTACAGATTTCCCTGAATATTCCAAAGTCATTAAAATATACTGCTCTAAAATTCGTAGGGAAATTTACTATCATGAATGAGCATGAAAACCATGTCATACCAATTCATTCAATATACAGGGAGATGGATATTTCACGTTCTCTTTGGTGAAAATATATGTAACTTTTTTGGAGTACGCTACTGACTATATTTCGATATTTCAATGAACGAAAAAATCATTCATCCAACTTATTTCTAACTGCAATTTTTTTATAGTTCTTCTCAGTTTTCGAGATATCTAACAAAATTAATTTTGGTACTTCTCCATATTTGTCTATATTGTCAAGATTACCTATCATATTTCGCAAATTTCTAACTCATTTGTGTTTGTTATTGACAACAATATCCATGTTCACCATTTCGCAAGCTCATCATCATATGATTTGAGAGATGATTGTTTCCAAATTTCATTCTTTTTTCTCAGAAAAAAAAAAAGTTTATCGAAAAAAATCAATTTCAAGATGACCAACAACCACATCATATGCTAAAGTAGTTCATAAACATGATTATTATGGTCAATAACTTCACAAAAATGAGGTATAAACTTGAAAAACATGATAATCCCACCACATCATAAACAAGTATGTAGAAACACTATGCATTTTCGTAAGTTGACTTCAATCAGCCTATTTTGATCTCTAGTTCACCCTGTATGATTTATGGTACGTTGTTCTGGGACACCTTCTATAATTAGTAGTATTAGGTGACCAAATAGAGGCAGGCATATTGTTTTATTAGTAGGTACGATATTTTTGGGTACCTGATGCAAAGCTGAAAATTTAAAAAAAATAGGATTTCCATTAGACTATTGTTATTAAAATAAACTGGTCATCAATAATAACTTCGTGGGGCAAAATATAGCCTGAATTCAAAGTAGAATAATTTACGAATTTCCTAACAAGACTCGGTTCTCACCGATGATTAGCCTGATCTTTAAACATTTTGTTGTGGCAATATGAATCCTCAGTGATTTTCTGACCTGAGATTTGATAATTGTATTATGAATTTTCTTTCAAAATGATGCATTTTCTCCACGATTAGTTGAATGGAATCGTAAGTTGAGATTCTTTTCGAAGAATCAACTTTGCATGTATAGTCTCCGCATATGTTATTGTATTCGAACACAGAAACTTCTGAAAAAATCGACATAAAGTCTATACAAGAAATACTGAATGATCAAGTGGAGGAAAATTTACTCCTCATTAGATGAAACATGATTTTCTCTGTGTCACCAGTGAAATAGTGGAGTGTTACATCGTCATGAATGAAATAGGCATCTTAGTCATGAAAAAGTCTGGTGTATGGCCTCGAAATTGTTTTGTAATTTCTTGGATCGGAGAGCATATAATGCAGGTATGTGTTTTCAATCATTATATAATGCAGAAAACTGGTATTGTAGTTCCAGAAATATGAAATTCATATTTATTATGGATGATGAATATACAAAGGTGCTATAAAAAATATGTTCAAATTGTTCGGAGGTGAACAAGAATATTTTTAAAGATGATTCAAATGGCTACCTTCTGAATATGAAATGAGTAAAATATCGGTCATTGTCGAGCTTATACAGGGCAATATGAAAGAAAATCCAGAATTGCCATAGATTGGACAAAATGTTTTTCATATTAATGAAGAGCATTCTGAAGCAAATTCATTTCTAGTTACTTAGTCCTTTTAAACAATGATTCTAATATTACATCACCGTATCAACAATGACTTTCGACAAAATATTCGAATATTTCGACTGTTTCGACTTGTCGAAAGTTTTGAACATTCTAAGATAGGTTACAAAAATTCATGACAGGAACTGCCCCAGAATCGTGATTTGTATACACATCGTCAATAGTGAATGTCTATCAATACTATTTCGAGAAACTTCGAAATTTTCAACTCATGATTATGAAAATGAAGACCATAGTGTGGTTGCTAGATCAGTAACATGCAATGATAACAAGTATTCATAAGTATAAAACCCAGTTCTTATTGACTTCACAAATTCAATTACAGATGAAAGAAATTGGCTTCTGAATGCTTTTCATAATTATGGATCTGGAAATTCTGATTTTTTTTTTTCATATTACCCTGTATAAGCCCAATGTGGAGTTCCTGTATTTATTCATTCCACTATTATCGACAATGACCGACAATGTTTCCTCATTCGGAACATATAGCGATTTGCATCAAGTTTAAAAATATTCTTGTTCATCACTGAACAATCTGAACATATTTTTATCGCACCTCGAATATCCATCATGAAGAATAAATAGTTATTTCATAGATGAAAAACCCAAAGTCATCTCCACAACTTTTATTGAAATGATCAAAGTTGCCAGTCAAAGTTGTGGAGATGACTTTGGGTTTTTCATCTATGAACTACACCACTCCACTTTGAGTTACCATGGACTTCTTCCAAAGATTAAATAGTTATTTACTGAACACGGGGAAAAAAGTATCAGATTTTAGCTCGAGTGTATAATACACTATTTTTTTCTATGACCAGAAAAACGACGATTCATTATTGAGAAGATATTACATCATAATAAAATCAGAAAATTATCGATGTTAAACTTTAAGTCTTCAACTGGTAGTACACCGGGTTTGCAGGCATCTTTCTGTAGGCATCTTTATTTTTGCTATGGAAACCTTTTGAAGTAATCGAATATGTGTGAATTTAATTGTTTTGATTTTGAAAAAATTGCGAACTTAGTGGTTGTTTAGTAATTTACATAATCCCGATGTGCAATAGCAGATGGAAAGGGCTTTCAGTTCTTTTCCAGAAAATGTATTACCTTTTTTCCCATGGGATAAAAGGAGATGAAATGCCAAATTATTAAATAGATTTTATATTCCTGAAACTACTGTCGAAATTTTTTTAATTGTCTTATTCATCATAACGAAAATGCATCATATTGATGAAAAATGCGTACCTTCATTATATGATCTTCCATACGAAGCATTACAAAACGATTTCGAGGGCAGACACCAAACTTCATCATAACGGTGTAACACTCCATTGTTTCACTAGAGACACAGAGAAATTCATGTTTCATCTACTGAGGACTACATTATTCCCAATACGATCATTCAGTATTTTTTGTATCACTTTGACTTCTTCAAGAGTTTCTTTATTCAAACACCACAAATCCGTACATACAAGGAACAAAAATGTCAACTATCAATTTTATTCGATTGACCGTCACGAAAATGCATCATTTTGAATGAATATTCATAACACGATTATCAAAGCTCTAAATTTGAAAATTCCAAAAACGATTCGACAGCAAGTATTAATAATCAGGATACAGGTCAGAAAAAAAAATTAAAAATGATCTGTTCAAACTCATCACTCTGTGGCAATTTTATCTGAAATCACTGAAGTTTCATATTGCCACCACGAGCTATCAATAAATTCTAATCATCGGCGAAAACCGATTTCAAATTGGTTAGGAAATTCGTGAGTAATTCTTGAACTAAAGCTATATTTTGCACCACGACGTTATCAATGTTGACCAGTACAATATAATACAATAAGAAATCAATTTCCCTATCACAGTAAAAATAATCAAGAGCACAAATTCATTGACATAATCATATTGAAAGTAGTATGCAGTTTATATATAAATAACTACCTACCCACAGACCAGGGGCCTTATTTATGAATCGAGAGAACGATTCCCTCGAGGGAAAACTGTTTACAATGTCACTTTCCACTGCTTTTTTCGGTGGATTATGAGAGGAGACGGAACAGAGTACCTGTTTCTCTTGCTATCTATCGAGAGGAGAAGCGGGAAACAAAATAACTTGTTACTAAAGTGAGGGACACGCCCACTGTTCTCACGGCGGACTACACCTTTTCCAATTGTAATTCAGAAAGCGTAAGTTGTAATTCAGATTCCTCAAATGAAATTCAGAAAGTGTCAATTGCAATTCAGATTAGCTAATTGAAATTCAGAAACTATCAATTGCAATTCAGATTAGTCAAGTGAGATTCAGAAAACTTTAGTTGTAAATCAGATTTTTCAATTGGAATTTAGAAAGCGTCAGTTGAAATTCGGATATCGTCATTTGTAATTCAGAATGCAACAATTGTTATTCAGACTACGTTATTTGTAATTCAGAAGTAACATGTTATTCAGAA